TAAATAGTTTTTTTTATTTTTTTATATAAAATATTCAAAAAAAAAGGTGTTAAAAATAACTATTATATGTAATAAAATTTTACCTTGTAACCTTTACCTGTTAGGGTTAATTTATATAATTAGCTTAAGGTTAGGGCACGCACCTAACCTACCCTGCACTTTTTACTGCTTTGTAAAAGGTTAAACCACCTACCTTGTAAGGGTTGGCACCACGAGTCACCTACCCTGCAGGGCGGCCACGCAAATGAATCGCTCCTACGATTAAATCAAATTTGTCGGCCTAACGCGGAGATAATTTTGGTGGCCGTGGGTCGATTTTTTGCAAATCCCATACAAAATAATTTTTCGGAAATTAGCTTAAGTCACCGGAACCCCCGCCCGCGCAAATCCCGCGGTACCAATATCGGAGGGTATATGAAGGAGTAGAGTTGGCTGCCCCTCCCAAGAATAACAAGTTTGTAACCCACAATTTATTTAGGGGCCCTGCACTATAATTTAGTGCATTGCAGGGCCCAACCCAACTAAACGTCAGTCCCTGTGATAGCGCTGCATCCCTTACGCACCCGCTATAATTTAAAAAATCGTAAATAATTTTTAGTTTTAATTTGTAAATTATTATTATTAAAGCTTTTTTTTTTAGTTATTATCCTGCCCGTGCTTTTATTACGGGCGAATTTCCTAATTTTTTATTTTAAACTCGCCCTTTTTTACGTATCGGTAATGCTTTAAAATGCATAAAGGGTTTTGTTCGAGCCCCGGGGGGTGGGTGTAATTTTACGTTTATATTTTCCCTTTTTTATTTCCTAAAGCCTCACGCTTCGGCTTATACGGTATTTATAACGTTAAAACGTAACCCGTTTGTTAAACTTTTATTTTGGCATTAACGTGCATTTTATATGCTAATAACCGATATTTGTACCATTTTAATACCCCTAATACGCATAATATCGAATAATTAAAACTTGGTATAAAAATAGTTAAAACCGGTTTTAAAAAATTATTTTCCATTTGGATAATTGCCAAACCAATTATAGTTTTATACGGGCCTAATCGTTTAATTATCGAAAAAAAAGTTATTTTTTAACTTTTTTTTTATATGTATAATATAATTTATTTAAATGCATTTGGTTTAAAATAATTATCGATATTTTTAATTATTTAAACGCAAATTGGGGTGATTTTTTAAATGTTTCGTTTGGCTTTTTTCACTTTATAATATTTATTAGCCTTTTAATTTGCTTAATTTTGGGTATTTAACGTTTTAATCGTTATAAAACCATAATAATAATCGGTTATAATCATTTTTAACTAGCGTAATTTTATAAATTAATTAGTTTGGTTTTTTTAATAAAATTATATGCTAAAACGCCCGATTATTTCGAACCGCATTTAAAATGCTTTTTTTACGGGGACCCAAATTTTTTGCCCCATTAAATTTGGCGTAATTTCGGCGGCTCCCTTATTATCGGCCATTAATTGTTAAATTTCCGTTATTTTTTAAATAATGTGTATTTATCCCAAAAGTTTACGTTTTATTTTCGCGTTAATATTAAAATTTATAACCGATACATTTAACATTTCTGGTTTAACTATTAAAATTTATAATTTTTAAAGCCTAATTAGCGTATTTTTTAAAATTTATCGTTTTTATTACAAGCTTTCGATAATTTAAACTGGCTCGGGATCTTTTAATTTTACCGATTTTTTTTAAATTTTTCCGCAATTGCGCTTTTTATTATCGCTATTTCGCTTTTTCCTTATTTAATAACGTAAAACTATTAATAACTCGTTGCTCGCCTTTTTCGTTATATTTAATATTTATTTTTTTTATTATAACAATCCTTTAAATGGCTTTATAAAAGTAATATCCCGTCGCATTTTTATCGGATTTGTAAATATTATATTAATTATTATAATAAACGGTTTAAAAAAATAACGGTTTAAGGCATAACGCTGGTTCCTAATCCTCCGTTTATTTCCTGGCCATAGTTATCCGTCGATTTTTTTAAAGGTAATTTTTTTTAATATACTTTTTTTTTTCGTAAGCGAAATATTTGCCATTTTTAACGTTTTTCCAGTAAATTTTCTTTTATTTGTTTTATTTTTACACGGCTCCGGCGGTACGATTTACCTGCCCGTGGTTTTTTTTACCCTAACCGTTCTTTTTATTTTAAATAGCCGGTTTATTTGGTTAAATTCTTTTTTTTAATTTTCGTTTTTATAAACGATTGTTAATTTATACCGCCATTTTTTAAAACCCGTTAAAAAATTTAAATTATTCCGTTTTAATTATTTCGTTTTTTATTTTGCTTTTTAAACTTTTATAAAAACGGTTAATTTTAATTTTTTTGGTTATTTTAAAAAGCGTTATTAAACGTTTAAAATTAGCCGCATACACCGTAACGGACTTTTTTTAACGGAATTATTCGAATTTTTTTTCCGCCACTCGTTTTTTATCCATTTATCCGAATATATTAGTAATATTTTTTTTAAATTTATTTTAATTATTAAATATTCGGCGGGTATTTTTTAAAATTTGGTTTAATTTTTAAAAAAAATCAGCCAATTTAAAATAAAACCAATTTTTAATTTTCCTTTTTAACCGTATAACGATATAAATTACCTTTTAGTTATTTACGGTAAAATTTTTACCGTAAAACCCGAAATAAATTTTATAATCCGTAAAAAAAAGTTTAAATTTCTAGCTAAACCTATTATACTTATCGAAATTTAGGAATTTAAAACTTTTAATAACGATTTAAATGGTTACCTTTATATTATTTATTTATTTGGCAATATCGTGTAAATTTTTAATTATTAGTTCGATAATTATTTACATTTACTTTATTTATTTATTTACAAGGGCCAGGTTTTTTATTACGATTAATATAATTTAGGCCGTTTGGTCCTTTTTTTCGAGATTATAATCGATCCTTTTATAAATAAAACCCCCTAAAGGTTTTCCTGGCCCAAAAGCTCCCTTTTTTCGGCTTTCACCTTTTTTTTCACTTTTTTGGTGGATTTTCCGGAAAATATGGTAATTATTCATTTATTTTTAATAGGTGCTAAATAAAATCAGTTAAAATATTACAAATAAGCCTTTTGCTCCTAAAAATAGGGCATTTAAAAAAGGGATTAAGCAGTGTTAGGTAATAAAATCGTTTTGCACGTAATTAGGGGAGGTTTGGGAAATAGGGGTTTTAATTATTTACCCGAAAGGATACCTCGGAGCTAATTTAAGTTAGTTAATGCCGAAACCTCAATTAAAAGCTACTGGTTATAAAAGGAGATTTTTCTTTTATACCCGTAACTTTATCACTTTAAATTTGTGCTATATTTGCTATATTTATAGCAAATATATCACTTCTAATGCTCGGGTTATATTTGATATATTCATAGCAAATATATCACTTTTTGTTTAGGTAAATATTGGCCACGTGACCTTCCTCCCTTTTCTGGCCTTGGCCAGCGCGACCCTTGGTCGCGCCAGCTGCGGGGTAAAGGCGTACCGCTGGGGGTTAGCCCCAGCCCTTTTGTCCCTTGCCAGGTGCGGTCGTAACATATGCCCGAAAAAACGCGTACCGTTTTAACGAAAAAATTTAACGAATCGCTAGTTTCGGTTTAAAAGGCTATTATTAAGGCAATTTCCGAATAAAAAATTTAAATTTTTAAAAAAATCCAAAAAATACACAAATTATCAGCGTAAAAACACCCCGATATTATTAAAATTTAAAAAAAATTTAAATAACACCATAGGTTTATTAAAATTTAAATTATAATTTATAAAATTATTAAAAATTGCGAAAATTATGCAAAAAATAAAGCTAACCGGCATAAATTTTACGGGCCATTTTAACCATTACCCGCCCCCGGCAAAGCATAATAAAAAGTTATTATAAATTTTATTATTAAACTTTTAAAATTAAAAAAACCTTTAACGGAAATTCGGTATAATAATATATTAATAATAATAAACAGGTTTATTAAAATGGCTAAATTTTTATTTTATAAAAAAAACAGCGATGTTAAAAAAATGGCATACGTTTTTTTAAAACACGTGATAATAAAGCACGAAATTCCTAAAAAAAATAATCACAAATAAAAATAAACTATTTATTAATAAATTTTAAAAAAGCCTGGTTACGCTTTTTAAAATAAAATATTTATTATTAATAATTTATCATTTTTAAACGAATAAATAAACGAAACAAATAAATTAAACCATAAAATAATATTTACGCTATTATATTAATTATAAATAAAATAATTAGGTATAATTATTTTTTATAGCCTAATTCGCGTATAACAGTTTTTATTATAAGGTTATTAAAGCTACGCCGTTTTAAGCTAATTATAAATATACGTTAATAGCGTATTATAAATCCAGGGCCGGGCAGCATGCCTTAATGGCCAAATTATAAATAAAAAAATTTATTTAATTATATAAGCATTTTTAGGATAAATTAAAAAAAGTACGCCTGCATATGGCTATTTAAACCAATAAAAAAAAATCGAAAAACCGATTTTTAAAAAAAGGGATAACGTTTACCTTTTATAACGTAACGTTAAAATAAAACGATTAAATAACAAATTAAATTATAAAAAATTTAAATCGTTTAAAATTAAAAAGGTAATTTTTTTAATTAATTATAAATTTTAACTATTAATAATTATAAAAATTCATAACGTTTTTTACGTTTTTTTGCTTAAACCGGCACCGTTTGGTTCGAAAAGCACAAAATTAATGAAAATCGATTTAAATTAAAAATGGGAAATTAAAGCCATTTTTAATAATAAAATACGTTATTATAAGCGGTAATATTTAATTAAATGGGCAAAATGAAAAAACGAACATAATATATAAAAAAAAAACAAACCTTAAAAATTGCCAAAAAATTTTACAAAAGTATCGGTAAAAGCGATTATAAAAGGGTTAATAAAAAAATGGCAAAAGCTAAAACGAAAAGGCCACGCCTGCAAGCGTAAACTTTTCCGTCCTAAAAATATTTTTAAAATCGAACCAAAAACTTTTCGTTTAAAGAATAAACGCGTTACCATTACGCCAAATAATTTATAAATATCGTTAAAAATTTTACATTTTATTTAATTAAAAAAAACAAACAGGTCGGAATTAAAAATAATCCCAAGCGTGCCCTAATTAGGGGATAAAAAGGAAAGGTTAAAAATAAAAAGGCTAATAAAAATAACAGTTACTTTCGCCTTTTTCCGTTTAACACGTTTTAATTTTTTTATTAAATCGATTTCATAACGGATTGCATGCATTTTTTTTTAAACCATAGCTTTTTTTGCTTACGCAAATGCTTAATTAAAGCATTCGCAAATCGGCGTTTTTTTTTCGCTGTTTTTAATTTAACCCTTAATTTGGCGTGCTAAGCGCTAATTGCGCGAAACTGGTTAAAAAAAGGGCCCAGAACGTCGCAGCGGAAATGCCTTAAACGGACACATTCAGCATAACGGGAGAAGTTTTAAAAAAAAAACCTTGCATTTGGAAAAACCGGCGGCCTTATAAAAAAAGCAGGAAGGTATTTCGATGGAAAAAAATAAAAGGGTAGCCAAAAGGTTATTGCAACAAAGGGTTGGTCGCGCACAAGGGAAATTTTATTTTTATATTCGGTTAGGCATTTTATTAACAGAACCGAAAAGTGGGTTAATAAAAAAAAACACCTATAAGGGACCGGGAGCTGCAAAAAAAGGCCAAAAGGGTTTGGTTAAAAAAAAGGAACCTAATGTTACGATTAAAAGCGTTAAAAGGGAGCAGGGGTTAAAAGGGTTCGGGTAAAAAGGCCCAGCATACCGTTTAACGCGACACCTTATACCCCGCACCTAGGGAAATTAGGGTCACGTAATCCCAAAAAGCAAATAATATGTTAATATGCTAGTATATTAACATATTACTAATGGTATGGGCAATATGGTGCATATTAAACATATTATTAAATTAATAAAGGGAAGGCCTGGGTATAAAAGCAGGAAAAAGTTTTATTATTAGCAAAAGGTAATTTTTAATTAAGGTTTCGGTATTAATTAACCTAAATTAGCTTTAAGGCATTCTTTTAGGCAAGTAATTAAAACTATTATTTTTTAAACCTCCCCCACGTTACGTATAAGGTAGCCTGTTACCCAGCGCTGCTTTATTGCCTTTTTTAAATGCTTTATCTTTAAAAGCAAAAGGCCTGTTTGTAATATAAGTTTAAAAAAAATATTACTAATATATTCGAATAAGTAAACGAAAAATAAATGGCGAAAAAAAAGCTTAAATAATTTTATTAAAAAGGGTTTACCGCGGTGTATATAATTAATTTTAAACGTTTAATAACGGTTTTTAATATAACCAAAAAAATAAAAATTAACCGGTTTTATAAAAGCTTAAAAGGTAAAATAAAAAACGAGCTGGTTAAAATGAAATGGTTTAAATTTTTTAACGGGTTTTAAAAAATAACGGTACAAATTAATAATTGTTTATAAAAACGAAAATTAAAAAAAAAACCTAATTAAATAAACCGGCCGTTTAAAATAAAAAAAACGGTTAAAATGAAAAAAAAACTATAAATAAATAAATCGTATTATTAAAATTACTTAAAAATAAAGTAAATAAAAAAAGGTTTATTAGAAAAATGTTAAAAATAGCAAATATTTCGTTTATAGCAAAAAAAGGTATATTAAAAAAAATTACCCCCAAAAAAACCAAAAGGTAACCGTGGCCAGGATATAAACGAAGAACCAAAAATTAGCGTTATGCCCTAAACCGTTATTTTTTTAAACGGTTTATTATAATAATTAAATGCAGCATTTATAAATTTAATAAAAGGTAACCGAATATTTACCCTTATTGTTCGTGGCTATCTGCGTTGATCAACGTTATGGGTGAGAACAGTAGATACTCTATTGTCTGGTTATCTAGGTAATCTGTGC